TTCTCGATGATCTTTCTCCTGTAAACAGCCAGTCAGCCATTGAAGGAAAAAATAACCTCAAGCTTACCTTTCTTGACGATTGACTCTGAAAACTGTTACAGATACGAACAATACGAATAATATTGAGCGTTTCGTTGGTTTTCAAGCTACAAACTGTATAAAATCACGTATTATTCATGTACAACGTAAGCAGATATAACAAATCGAGTGATTAGCCAGTACCAACTTTTCGGCTCGTGTCTCATGGGTCTTATTCAAGATGAGCAGGGTTGATTTCGGAAGTTCGATCAGTGATCTACAGCTATTGTGCAGTACGTTTTTTGCTCATATCTCTGCATAGCCGAAGCGTTGGTATCGATTAATCACCCGATTGATTAGTTTGCTTGCGTTGTGTATAGAAAACCGTTGTATGAAGTTTTTTATTTCTAATAATGGAAGAATCGGTACGATGCATGTGTCAATTTTTAAAACTATGAGAAAACTGTTGTAAAACCAACACCGTTTCTGGCTTCGAAATTTCCAGACTTCAAGTAATGATTTACGCAGGTCACAAATTATCTCTTCCGTTGCTTTATGTCCCTTTGCAATCTGTTACTTCGTTTTGCATTGAGTTTTAAGATATTTTCATACTCCAAAGTATGATAATGGCGCATAACCCCTCCAAAACCGGATTTCGCGGCATATTGCACCGCTTTCCCCCTCCCTCCAAATAAACAATGTATCGAAGCCAAACGTTTTCAATTGACGGAGCCTTTGTTGCATGTCTTCCGTCCTTCTTCTCATCGTCTTTGTGCATATGCTTAAAGAGCGTTTTATGGACGTTACGAATGATTCTGTATAAAGTGAGTCAGAATCGTGAGATGCTGTCAAATGCTGAAAGTGAATTGATTGGCTGTGTTTGGATTGAAAGTTGTTCTATGGATATTGCGCATGATTTCCCCAAAGTGGTCGTGATAGTTTGCTTTCGTTTAGCCATCCGCGAAATTTCACCAGAATACAATGTTTGTATTTTATATTTTACAGTAAACGTAGCTGATTTAAAAGTCAAGGAACTAAAACATTTTGAGCTATATAAAACAAGCTTGGCTCGAAATTCATTAAAAAGTTAATTATTTAAAGCCAGTTAAGTGAATTGAATGAAATACAAAAGTCTGGCGCATCCTCTTAAAATTTGATGTTGAATTTAATCGCAAAAGGTCTGTCTTCGGAACTGAACGCAAAATGTTTCTTTCCAAGCAAATGAAGAATAGAATTGTTGCCGTTATCACTGCTGCCAACTTTCTATTTAAGGCATATGTTAAACAGCCTAATTAAATTGTCAAACAATGAAAGAAAACAAAAACAACTTATCTAAAGAAGTAATTAATTTTGCCGTTAGAATTTTGGGGTCATTCCTAGTTAGCATCGTGTATTGAATCATGTTTTGAAATGATACGTGTCTCTGAAAAACGCCTAAAACGGAAAACTGCGATGATTTTACTTTTTCGATGCCGAGCCAGTTGCTGAAGTTGTACTCAGTTTCTTGTTGAGTGCCAAAGAATGAAACAAACAAATTTTCTGCAATAGATCTGAGGAATGCTCTTCTTTTACCACAGCGCCTTAATAAATTCTTCGTTTGGATCATCTGTTGGTTAGCGTTTATTACGTCATCGCTCATTGCATGTCTGGCGACATGACCATTGGAAGGTTGAATTAGATCGGCAAATAAGTCAACGGGGTAATTTTTATTTTTGTCACAATAGCATAAAAATATGTATGTACACCGGAGAACGCCACAAAGCTTAACTCGTCCAAGACTACATTTCACGGCGCATTGATCATCCATTTGCTTCTAGTTGCTTAGAACGATCATTTAACCAGGCCACGGCTTAGAATGTTTTAAGCACCTGCCGTCCCAGATGCGTCTTGCATCATTTTGTTCACTAGATCCACCTGACCCCCATTGCAAACGATGTTTCAAGAATTATTACTCATGCATGAATGGCTCTTCTATGCAAGTGGAACCAGTTGGGCAGTCCCTCAAACGCTCTTCGGTCAGGCAGTCTTTCCTCCTCAGGCAGTCCGTCCGTCCGTCAGTCTCTCATACAGCCAGATCGGTGTCATTCAGTCTTGAGGGAGTCATCTCTATGTTTTCGGATGAATGCAGGAGGTGTCACCTTATCTAACAGCCTAGGAGTTTAATCTGAGTATCCCATGTATAGACAGAATTATCTTGCAAACGATAAACGCCTTCCTACTATTCTATTCGTAGCTTTTCTCCAGTTCCATTTGCGTCAGTTTCGATTTCTAGGGAACAGCTGGTTTAAATTGCTCTATGTTCTAACGTATACACCTATACTTGGACCATTGTTTTAATTTGAGCATGAATGGACCTAAGGAATAATAGACTAAGTCTGTTCGCTGTGTGCATCTGTTTCTGTAATATCTTGCAGCAGTTCTTGCGGATAAAGGGTTTCAAGAAATGTGCCGAGATGGCTGTTTACCCTTGATTATCATGCTATGGTGATAATTGTTTGTTAACAAAACCACCGAGCCACATCAAAGCGGTGGGTTGATCATAATATT